CACTAGGGGGTCGGTTGTATGAATTCTAAAACGTCACTATGTTTTGTTTTGCGCCAAGTGTTTTGAGTCTTCCTAGGTCTTTCTCTACCCCTTTTTTCCTAACCCTCTGTTTCATAGTCGCATATTTTGACTGGATCATATGTAGGTCTTCGGTTTAAGCTTCACCTTATAAACCCATTTGCAACCAATAGGACATTTGTGACAAGGCAGGGGCACCAGAGTCCAAGTATGATTGTCTTGGAGGGCAGCAATCTCTTGTTGCATGGCGTCACGTCATTTGGGATCCTGGATAGCTTGCGAAAAATTGGTGGGTTCTTTGATAATGGTGAGGTTGGTGATGAAGGTTTTGTGAGTGGGGGATAGACGGTCATAGGATAAGTAACGAGATAGAGAGTGGGGCATACCTAATGACTGGACCATGCTTATGGAAGATGTGGGAGCAACACGGGATAGGAGGGCCACCTTGGCGTGAAAGTCCTGCAAAAATGTGGAAGGTTTGGTCTGTCTGGTGCCGCAAAGGGGCAGAGGGGTTTGGTATGGTAATAGAGTGGTTGGTTTGGTATTTGGTGGTGAAGTTGGAGTGAGTAAATGAGATGGAGATGGGGTGGGGTCAGCAAGTGTGTAAGAGTTGGTATCTAAAATGGTTCCTGGTGTAAAACTTGGATGATGCAACTCAAGGGGAGAGTCCAAATCAAACTAAATAGGTAAGGGTGAAGTGTTTGATGGGGATGGGGCAGCGGAAGTGGTAAGATTTTGGAATGGAAAATGGTTTTCAAAAAACACAACATCCTTGGAAACAAATGTTTTATTTTGTTTTATATCGAACAATTTATAACCCTTTTGACCATAAGAATATCTAAGAAAAATGCATTGGGTTGCACGGGGGTCGAATTTAAAGGGCCTTTGGGCGTGTGTATAAGCAAAGCATAGGCTACCAAAAACTTTTAAATGGGAATAGTTAGGTGCTTTGTGAAACAGTTTTTCGTAGGGTGCTTTACCTTGGAGAAGTGGAGTAGGTGTTCTATTGATGAGATAAGCCGAGGCTAAAGTCACATCCCCCCCCCCCCCCAAAAAAAATGTTTTGGCAGACAAGCTTGAAAAGGCAAAGCCAAGCAACATTGAGCAAGTGCCGGTGTTTACGCAACTAGATTGATGTAGAATGCATTTGAGAGCATAAAATCGATCAAGTTTGAACTCAGGGCCATTTTTACTTCGTATGATTTGAACTTTAGTATTGAATTGAGTCTCAACCATTTGAATGAATTTGACTAAGATGTCTTTTGTGTCAGATTTATGCTTCATCAAATAAACCCAAGTGCTTCTAGTATGGTCATCTACAATGGTAAGAAAATATTTGGCACCTGAAAGAGAAGCAACCTGATAACCAACCCAAATATCAATATGCAATAATTCAAAACATGATTTGGTAGAAATAGAACTTAATGGAAAGGGCAATCTTGTTTGTTTGGCCAATGGGCAAATTAAACATTTGTCCGAATCACAAATCTCATTATTTAAAAATGGGAATAACAAAGAGGCTTTATGAGATGGGTGTCCTAGGCGTTGGTGCCAAAGCTTTGGTGAGACGGTGTGGATAATGTTGCATGTTCCTTTATTCGATGGGTCGAGGTAGTAGAGTCCCTCCCTTTCAATTCCCGTCCCAACCATCTTCTTCGAGCGAAGGTCCTGGATGACATAAAAACAGGTTAAGAAAATGGTGACATATAAGTAATCATAGGCTAGTTTACTGATGGATATTAGATTGATTCTAAAGATGGGCACACATAGGACATTATCAAGAATAAGGTTATGAGAGAAAACAACTTCTCCATCATGAGTGACTTTGACAACGGAACCATTTAGCAGTTCAACGGTATGATTGTCAACGACCCGTGAGTTTGTAAGCAGACCAGGGCTGCAAACTATGTGATTCGTGGCACCATTGTCCAGGATCCAAATACTTTTGGTGCCTTTATGTGGAAAAGAAAAGGCTTTACCTGAAAGTTCTTCATGACTAAAAGGATTACCGACTTGATTAGCAAATGATGACTTATTCTTGTACAATATCTGAAGGATTTGCTTTCAATCGTCCTGAGAGAACGGGAAACTAGACATTGTCTCCTGCTTGTCATGTTAGGAAACTTGATTCCCCTTTGAAGAAAAAGGGCGACTAGATTCAGTCTCTGTAGCTGCCTTCCGTTTTCAATAGAACTCCAAAGTGTGGCCTTTCCATCCTCAAAAGGTGCACTTAAGATGTTCACGGCAATTTTTGGTGGTGTGATTGGTTTTGTTGCACTTTCCATATTGCACCTCATTGTCCTCCGCCGCAGGTTCTCGCGACAAGTTCTTCACTGCAAAGACAGCAACCTCTGGTTGTGTATTTTTCCCATTGGAAACCTTTGCTTGGTGTTCATGTCGAAGGACCAACGTATATGTCTTGTTCACCGTAGGCAGTGGTTCAAGAAGAAGAGTATTGCTTCAAACCGTAACATACGATTCATTTAGTCTCATAAGGAACTTCATGGTTTTCTGAGTTTCAACATACAAGGTCATCTCATTTTTTGTTCCATAACTGCATGCTAGAATAGAACACACAAGTATCGCGTTCATCCTATAAACTTTTAAGTTTAGGAAAGTAAGAACTTACACTTATATTGCCTTGGATGCAATCATGGATCTCATTCTCAACATGGAACAATTGAACTATATTCACATGTGAGAACCTCTCATTAAATTAGTCCACATCTATTGAGTGTCCTTGTAGTTGATGACGCTCCCTAAAATCTCTTTCGACATAGAACCTAGCAGCCATGTCTTGACCAAGTTGTTACAACAATTCCATTGCTGCAACTCTTCGGTATTGTTTTCACTTGGTTTCGTGATTGTCCTTGTGACGACCCATTCCTAATTTTCTATGTAATTTCTCCCCGAATGTGTAAATGGATGTTTGTGCCCCTGTTGGCAAGTGACGTGGACGTGACTGTGCAACTTTAAATTATTTTTTCTCGCTTTTGTAATTAATTTGTACTCGTTGTTACGAGGGTACATTAATTTTATCAGTGCTAGAAACACTGTTTGGATAGATTTTAGATTTCTTTTACTATAGGAAATGTACTTTACCCTTATGTTATCTATGCTATGAATATTTGTAGTTTTTAGGTTGTAACCACTACTGCGCACTCACTTTACTAGTTTAATTAAGTTCTAGTTTTGCTTTTAATTTATCCACTTTTTTCTTACATCACTTGCATTTTCGGTTACGTCACCTTCACATGATGGCCAACACGCCTTGATTCTGGTCGAGGCATGTCACTCCCATCAACAAAACTGAGTTTGTTCTTGATTGTTAGGGCCATACTCATGGATGAAACCCATGTGTTGTAGTTGTCTTCCACCAATGGCTGTGGCACGAGGATTGCACCAGATTAGTTTGAGTGGTGGAGATAAAACAGATGGTTGGGCTTTTTCCATTTTGAATAAGCAATCATGCCTTGAATGGTTAACCTTGAGTCTGGCTTGTCGCCCATGATCGTGTCTTCCTTAGAGTTGTGTTTTGTTGTTTTCCCAGATCAATACTCTAGTACCATCTAAGAAATCAGATTATACTGAAATTGTATTTCCTTGTATATTCATTCAACTAGGTTAACATTCTTATAGACATATCAGTCAACACATTCCTATTGTATTGCCTATAATCAAGGTTGACCAAAGACTAAATAAGGAAGTAAATAACTAATTATCAATTTACAATATATGGTAAATCAATCAGAGATTTCTTTCTCAACAGGTTCACGTGTTCAAACACCTTAACTGATTTTCTTATCTTCAATTGCGGCTACTTCTATTTATCTCGGATATCCTTGTTCTTAATCCTATCATTTCTCATGTGCTCACACATCCAACTAAGCATTCTCATCTTCTTTATACTCAATTTTTACACATGTTACTTTTTGACTGCCCAACATTTTGTGCCATAAATCATTGTTGGCCTTATTGTCATCCTATAATATTTTTCATTAAATTTAAGTGACATACAACAATCGCACAACATACTCGATACACTCTTCTACTTCATACATTTAGCATGTATTCTATGGTTGACAAATCTCCATCTAATTCTCATTTCTTGTGCAAGATAGATCTAAGATAATGAAAGCGTTCACTCTTTCGTACTTCCTGATCTTCAATCTTCACCCCTATTTTATTTGGATCCCCCTTCCCAGTGAACCTTCACTTCATAAACTCTGTCTTTCACCTACTTAGGTGAAGACCTTTAGATTCCAATAGTTATGTCCAATGGTTAAGCTTCACATTCACTCCCTCATCTGTTTCATCTATCAGCACTATATCCTCTGCGAAAAGATATGTTGCCGTGAGTAATAATTAAAAGGGTATGTAAATATATATTGTAAATATTAGGAATCATTTATTAGGAAGGATATATGTTTGTGTCCTTTATTGTTTATTGATTCCATATGGAATAAAGATTGTATCTTGTATATATTTTCAGTTATGCAATACAATGAGAATTAAGCCGTAAAATTTAAGTAGATACACCAAGGGATATCATCTTGAATATATCTCGTTAACACATCCATTACCAATACAAAAAAAATAAGAACTTAAAGCTGAACCTTGTTGTAACGTTATAGTTATGGGCCAACTTGACTATGATATTATAAAGTAATTTGAAATTTCACTACTAAACAAAGTCCTTCAGTTCTACAATATGACATTCGCACTCTTAATACTGATATACACTAAGCATTATAATTTTCAAACAGTAATACCACAGTGTATCCGCTTCTCTTCTCTCTATCTCTGACAAAAATGTTGAGACTCGCAGTCGTATCTATTGGCCACTGATTATCACGCATGGGCGAACCACCGGTCCAAGTCAACCCACCCTTTTGCTTCCGGCCATCCAATTCATTTGCAGCTACAGCTACCTACCTACCTGATAGTATAAACCATTACCCTCCCCTCCATTTGTTCCTCAACTCTCTACCCAATCCGCGCTAGCTTCTTGCAGTTGGCCCCTCTCTCGCCCTCTTCCTCCCCACTTCCCCCACCCAAAACCCCCCCCTCCATTTGTTCCTCAACTCTCTACCCAATTCGCGCTAGCTTCTTGGCAGTTGGCCCCCCTCTCTCTCTCTCTCTTCCTCCCACCTTCACCCCACACCCCCCCCCCCCCACCACACCACAAACCCCCAATTTTTAGGTTATTAATTAAGGTTAGTTATAAGATTTTAGAATGAGGAAACCCTGCTGCGATAAGCAGGACACGAACAAAGGAGCTTGGTCCAAGCAAGAAGACCTGAAGCTCATTGAATACATTCGTAAAAATGGCGAGGGTTGTTGGCGTACCCTTCCTCAGGCTGCCGGTAATTAACTATGAACTTGTATATTTACGTATATTTGTGGATTAACAGGTTATATATATATATATATATGTATATAAACATCTTTTTTGGTAATATCATAGCAAAAACATTCATCAGAATGGTAAACTATTTACATATTAAGGAGTTAATTCCTTGATTTCTTAAATTCCTCGTCAATATTTTTGTCTCCTCTTTCTATTTTAACTAAGCCAACAAATGCTAATTTGTTCCTTTTCTTCTTCTGATTAATTTCAGAGAACTTTGAAAAGATAATTAATTTAATGAGTATTAATTGCCACCTCTTTTACATTTTTCTTCTTTTTGCAATTTGGTTCAGGCCTACTTCGTTGTGGTAAAAGTTGTAGGCTGAGATGGATAAACTATCTACGACCAGACCTTAAAAGAGGCAACTTTGCTGAAGATGAAGAAGATCTTATCATCAAGCTTCATGCACTCCTAGGCAACCGGTACTTGCTAGCTAATTCTTTTGAAAGAACTGATTTATAAACACCATGTTTTTCCCTCTGTATATCTCTGTTCATTTCTATCAATTATCTTTTTTCTTTATCCAAGGGCAACCGGTCCTTACTAGCTAATTCTTTCAAGAGAACTGATTTATACACACAATATTTCTCCTCTACACATCTCTGTTTAATTCTATCAATTAATTCTTTTTTACTTTATTAAATCCAAGTGCTAAATTAAATTGGGTATGCATGAGAATAAAAGAAAAGTGTGTGAATTTTAGTTATCCCCCGTTGTCTTTTATTTCTTATGACAAATGATCAAATAAGAATAATCAATTATTAGTGTATGCAATTGCACCATGCATAAATAAGTAGAGTTCACAGATTTGTTGGTGTTAACTAATTAATTTAACTATTTAGCAAATTTTTTTAGGTGGTCATTGATTGCTGGGAGATTGCCAGGACGTACAGACAATGAAGTGAAAAACTACTGGAACTCTCATTTGAGAAGAAAGCTTATGAACATGGGTATAGATCCAAATAATCATCGACCGAACAACGTCAATCTCCCTCGTCTTCATCATCAAAATTCACAAACTGTCAGTAGTACTGCAACATTGTCTGCGGCTTTAAAAAACCCTACCAATTATCAGCTGCAAGCAAGATCCGGTGGTAATAATAATTGTGACCATGAATCGGACGGTACAAGTTGCTTAGAGGATGATTCTTGTGGCCGGCTGCCTGATTTAAACCTAGACCTCACAATAACTGCTCCTTTGTCTAATCCAGTTCCTGATAACCTCAAGGAGGAGCAAAATTTCGAGTCTAAAGTGTCAAAGAAGTCATCAGAATTTGCTTCATCTACCATCCTTCCTCTCTTCAGATAATCGAATTTTCGTCCATGTGGATCGGAAGGTTTCCACAAGCATTAATTTTAGCTGAAATGGCTTATGAAATTGAAAATAATTATATTGATCAATTGGAGATATATAAAGAGTCTAATTTTGTAGAACCTACTTATTTGGGTAAAAAATGCAAGATGCATATCTTGGAAAGTCAGCGTGAGATCCAAAATTACAATGCAGTTCCTTAAAAGAGCGACAAATGTACTTCCAAGAATCTTTCTTGCATGCATCTCAAAATGTTGGCTTGCAGTTGCTCGGAATCATTGGACTTGAAGATAATCTATCAGTTTATAACAAGGCTTTGCAACAGATGATGATGGCTGAAGCTGAACGTATCAACAAGAAAGCATATTTACTTGATCGGAGATGCTGGCTAGATAAATTAGCCAATTTATTTATCATAAAGTTGGGTAAGTGATTAATAAATGTATTAGCTATGTAAATTTGTGAACATGAACATCCGCATATTCCATTTAATTACAGTATTTCTAGCTTTGATATATCTTTATTTCATTGAATCTTGTTTGAAATTGGGTTTAATCAGTACTTCCTTCCCATAAATAATTATTGGTTATTCTCCTAATTGATTATTCTCTTATAACTAGCTAGGATCCAAAGAAAGTGATTGCACCCCACCAAATTTTAGATGGATCCTGTAAAAAGAACTGCAGAAAGTGCCAGTTTCGACTTAGAATGCTATCTTTTATAGCAACTATGCATAAGTAGAATACTTATTATATATCTCGGGCCAAGCTAAGATATGGTCTAGATATATATTGTAATTTGGTAACTAAACACATGGCGAATATTCTATTATGCTCCGGTGTATGACACTGCATCAAATGAAAAGGGTTAGATGGGCAGTCAAGAATTCAATAGTAAGGATCCAACTGCCAAGGAGTTCGATATATACTTTCAGGTTCACCAGGTGCGCATACTAGAGAAACTGAACAAATAGTAAAGTTTCTTTCAATATGCATTCCAAGAAGAGTGAGGTGAGACTAAAACTTTAAGCCAGTAATAACCATGCCTGTTGATGTGGTGGTTTCAACCACATAATGTGCCACTAGTTAGTCCGGTATTGTCAATTATTAATGACACGTTGTTGTGTTATAGTAATCCAATTGAGTTGGAATATGTTAGAGGGGAATCAAAAGTTAGAATATGAAGATTGATACATCACACACACACACAGAGATATGTTTGATACATTTAATAGATGTTGGTATGCGTTCAGATTCAGCTGCTGGATTTAAATGAGTTAAAATACCAAACATTCAAAGGAGACAGATCCAGGACCAGGGCAGTAGAGAAATAACTGGATAGCGTGCGTCTAACCTGCGTTTTAGTACTTTCAGACTTTCACTTTCAGTAGGTAGTTGCATGCGCACCCCGCTACTGACCAATAGTAGGTCTCGAAATGTACATCATTTAGTTCATAAATTCAATCTATAAATTTAGTCTACCTAGCATTACTCATATATTATTAGACAGAAAACTAAATAGTACACATGATGCATTTTGTACATTTATCGTTGACATACATATATATATATATATATATATATATATGTTGATGCCTGATATCGACCTATATCTGCCATTCAATATGGAGTACGTTCGAACAAATGGAAGAACTAACAGTCCCATTTGGTAATCTTTCCCATGTTAGTTATATATCTCTTTTGTGATGTGCGTGTTCAAGGTCTTAATTTTGAATTTTCTCATTCCGCTTAATTTGTTCTTCTCATTTTTGTTTTGTAAATGACCTTAATTTGTTCAAAGGACAACAATGTCATAGGTAGGCTAGTTGGGTACCATTGGATGCGCGCTAGATTATTGTAAAGGGGCAAGAAACTTCATAGATACGAAATTGAAAGCGCTCAACAGATTTTTGAATTAAATAAGTAATCCGAATGTAATATTCATACTCTCAACACAAGTAACTATGATTTATAAGTAACTCGTAGTATAAAGTTGAGCTTAAGCTTTTGGGCATTGATATCGAGGTTGAAAGTGTGAGTATGTGAAGTATTGTCTCACATCCGAATGTATTTACAATAGTTGCAATTATCAATTAATTTTGTAGTAGAAACTCAACTTCCTTCGTAGTACCATGAATGAATGTGTGAGAATGTGGAGATGTTATCCCATATAGAAAAGTTAAAGGGATCTTTGCATATCATTATAAGGAGTTGAACTACCACTTTTATTGCTAATTGAGTTTATGTTGCAACCATAACTTCTTTTAGAAAGAAATATTATATTAGTCATTTTTTTTTTTTACATAAATGGTGGCCTAGTGGTTGGAGACAAATATCATGTCCATATTCAATAAGGCACATCTTGGATTCCATTCCTAAGACTAGTGAATTACACAATTGTGATCAGAGAGACTGACGTCTATGTGAATCTTTCCTGCCCCTGAAAGGATAAACTGTTATTATCAAACCATCAACTAGTTTTTCTTTTTTTTTTTTTTGGTTGATAAAAACCTTAAGTAAAAGTTCTTAGTAACTTAAACTACAAAGTTTTCGTTATATTCAAATATATACTGAATAATCTCAAATGTTTTATTAATTACAAAACATACTCAAGAATCAAAAGACTTTGGGAATATATTGTGGGGTCTACGATTGAGATTGTTCAGTATATGTAGTACCGATTGTCCCCCAATCTTGACATGGATGGCCAAGTAGCTCAACGTTGACGTTGTCATGTATTTACGTTTGTGAAGGGCTACATTTAGGCTCCGCTTAATTATGGTTATGCGATAAATTATTTTTTTAATCAACTGTATCATACTACATTTATATATAATCTTTAATAGAAGAGGTTTATTTTTTAGCACTCTTAATAATTTATTATTTTAAGTTTGTGCTTTAATTTTAAATGTTAATTGAATTAAACTACCATATTAAAATAAAATTTTTAAACATATTTTAAGGGCCACTCTTGTCGCTAAATGTTGTTTTAAGTTTCATGTTATTAAATATTTTAATTTTACTTGCATGTTAACAATTTTGGACATTAAAATGAGATAAGATAGTATGGAATGATGAAAATGGTGTAGAAATGGCTTGGGTATTTGTAGGAAAAATGAGAATTTTTAATCTTTTTTTTAATTTCGTCTTAAAAAAAAAATGCTACATGACGTCAACTAGTAGCACAGTTGGTACCAACTTTCATAGCTTGCTAGTTGGCTATGTTTGCCCAGCCCTCTAGCCATTTGGCTATATTTGGAGGAGGATTCTCTCCCCTCCTAATCTCTCTCCCTTTCCCTCCCCTCCTATTTGAACGGTTACAGTTTAGCCATGTCAACATCTTATATTGATTTTTTTATAGAGACAATAAGACAAAAAGCAATATGTGAGAGGAGGGGAGGGAAGAGGATGGGAATAGGAGGGGAGAGAATCCTACTCCGCTATATTTTGGCCTAGTGGGTCCCATATTTTTTTGGCCCAGGCCTCCATTGGAGATAGTGTAGAAATGGCTTAGTATTTGTAGGAAACAAAAAATTAGAATTTTTAATTTTTTTTAAAATTTCGCCTTATAAAAATATAAAAAAAAAATAAAAAAGGGCTACATGATGTCAGCTAGCAGCACAGTTGGTACCAACTTTCAAGGTTGGCTGGCTAGCTATGCTTGCCCAACCCTCTGGCCATTTGGCTATATTTTGGCCTGGTGGGTCCCACATTTTTTTTTGCCTAGCCCTCCATTGGAGATGGGTTTTGTGTCAAAACGGGCTATGTTTTCGCCTACAGTCCTTTGATCGACTCAATTGGAGATGGCCTTGACATGCAGTAGCTAGCTCGCTAGCTAAGAAAATAACTTCTCAATTCCAAGCCTAACGTTGTAACTTTATTGAGGGTGATGCTAGAGAGATTATCTATCTGAATTATATTTGTAAATCACATAATGTGACACTTAATTGATAGTTGAATTCCTTGTTTATATATAATTAAAGATGGTGTCCAACTATCAACGTCACATTATGTGATTTTTAAATATGATCAATGTTCTAAAAATCGGCCTAGACGGCTGCCTAGGCGGTGGAGTCCCGATCCGATTTGGGCTAAATCGTTCAAGTAAGGTGGGAAGGATTTAGGCGCCTGCCTAGGCGTCTCTAAGCACTCAAGGCGGCATAGGCGGTGCTAGGCGGTAGTCAATTCTCTACAAATCTCCCCTCGCATCCGCACGATCCACAACCACAACCCACAACCCAAATCTTCAAACATGCGCTCTTGCACCCAACATCAATCGATGAACCCAAGTAGATTGAGAATATACAGGGATGAACAATACACATAATCCGTCTGTTGGGTTTTACTGTAGAGAGAGAAGGGGATCTGTTGAAAAGATCCGTCCGTTCTGTCGAAGAGAAAAGAGAGAGAGAGAGAGAGTCGAAAGAAAAACTGAAAATGGGAGAAAAAGAAAGGCATAACTTAAAGACTAAAGAGAGAGTCTGACAAAACAAAAGACTAAAGAGAGAGAAAGAAGAGGAGATCTGTTGATAATAAATGCAAGCCTAGAGCCACTAAACAAGTGATTGTTGATTGGGACTAGCATTGGAGAAACCGGAAAAGCTGTTGGTTTAATTGAAAAAAAGGGATTTTCTTTGAACTTGGGTCCATTTTGTGGCCCACTATTTTGTTCAAAGAAAAAACAAACTAGGCCCAATATTCTTTGTATAAAATTAGAAAAAAAAAAGTCATAAAATTATACACATATACTCATATTTTATAATATATAATATAAATTTATGTAAATCCACTTAGGCCGCCTAGACGCTAAGAGCTAGTCCACCACCCAATTAGCGCCTAACGTTTTTTAGAACCTTGAATATGATCACCCTCCCCTAGCATTTTCTTTGATAAACGATCCACGATTCTATTTGTGGGGATGTGATTATGTGTGTCCACTCTCCATCTAGCAACTTTTATATCCAATGACTTAAGTGGATATCACGTTCACAGAGTTTTCATTTTATAAATATATAGAGCCACACCAACACATATTTTAAACCATTATTAGAGTAGTGGGAGGTGGATGAGGTTTGAGGAGTTTATGTTTTGAATATGATATTGAGAAAAGAGTACAAATAGGCATCATACACTTCCTATAAATTGTTAATCACTTAACAATTATTACTAACACCTTAAAAAAGGAAGCAACTATATGTTAATTACCAAATTAATCAAATAAAGAAAACAATTATATACGTAGGTAAGCAAACCAATTATGAGCACATTTGCTATACCGTGATATATAAGGTGCGATCTTCAAGATATTGTTAGATGCAGTTTTTACCTTAGGTTGAGTGTGTGGTAACTCCGATCTCAGGATACTGTTGTGTGATGGAGATTAAAGCAAATAGTTTGTCCCTTTGAGTGTGTGTGCGCGCGCGTATATGTATCGTGCATGTTAGTTGTTCCTTATAAGTTGTCTAACAAAAAATTAAGACTTTAATTTGTTTTAAAAAAAAATTAAACTTTAAAACAAGGGGTTGAATCCAACTTGTAAACAATACCACCCTCTGACAAAAAAAAAAAAAAAAAAAAAAAACTTGTCAACAATACCACGGTCCATTTAAATTTCTTTTTGCAATTATATATTTACGTAAGATAACCATTAATTTTAAGTGTGAGTTGGAGAAGTCGAGATTTTAAATTATTCTAATGGTATTTAAACTCAGGAACAAATGAGCGAGTATATTGTCTTAACAAACTGATATAACTCACATCTATGTAAAATTTACGATTTTTATTTTGCTGATCATTAGCAGGTTGAGTGTGAATAATCTGTTGAAAACGAATGGCTCATTGTAATTGCCTTGCCTGAACACAGGCACACTAGAGAGGCTGGTAACAATGGCTGCAAGTGATGGATTGGATATTCGTTTGAGGTTGAGCCCAAATACATGCATCTGCGAATATATACGTATCTGACTTAGAAACTCAAAGATCTCTTCATCAAATGACCAAGCTAATCCTCTGTCCTCACTGTCACACAACACTATTAATTATGCATTTTAAATTCATATCCGCCACTCCCACTGATTGCATTCCTCATATATTTCCCTTCAAAACCAAATAATATTGAATATAATATAGTTTCTTTTTCGTCAGACAAGTCAGAAAAATTAAGAAGATGAGTAAGAAATCATTTTACCATCTTGTAAGTCGTATTTCTTACCGCGTGTATGATTGATGTTTTTTGCATGCATGTTCACATTCCTTTTTTCTCTCTCTTTTCATTCGCATATATTATTCAGGTACTTTTTCAAGTATTTGTGCCATGTGTTACAGATATAGCATAGCATATCACAGTAACCACACACATACGCATATCAATTCAAGACAGAAACATAGATGCGTGGTCGTGTAAAATACAGTTAGCATATATATAGACCGAACGAGTACTACCTGATCATTATTGTTGGTCGATTTCTGGATTTAATAATATTTGTGGAATTGTGGATAACCACGAAGAACAAATCAGCAAATCCTTTTTTGTCTAAGTTCGAGTCAGGTCTGAGAAATATGATTTGATATGATATATATGAATGATACAACCAATGACCGTCCAAGACACAACCAAAACAGACCACGAAGATGTTTTAAACATTTCAAAATATTATTGTTGAATCAGTCTTGGACCTATGAGAAGATTAAAACAATAATTATACCCAACAAATTGATAGAAGATATATATTTTTCGCGAAATAATATATAGCTAGATTAATACCTGTATCGGCAATTAGCTAGTGACAATATATAATACACACACAGATATAAAATCTTTATATGTGGATAGAGGAAATTTTGTTTCTCATATATATTCAAATATGAAGATAAGGACACACACACACACACACTATGAATTTATGTGTGTTAACCATGAATTTCGTGTCATCGTCTCTTTGGATTTCTTATTTACTCTTTTGTTTTGGTGGTTAAAAGAATTCGAAATAAGTTAGGATATGAAAGTTGAAGAGTCTCACATCGGTGAAATGAGAAACATTGTAAGAGCTTATAAGTTAGGAAACTGCCAATTGATTTTATGGTGGATCCTTAGCTTTCTTCATGGTATTAGAGCATGTTAGCTCATGTGTGAAGCCCATCCGCCCCACGTGATCCATGTCACCCAATTTGTGTCCTCCACTTGAGGGGGCGTGTGATGACGTGAAGGCTAAAGAGTTTCACATTAGTAAAAAGAGAAACCTTGCAAGAGCTACTCCCTTAATTGCGAATTGATTTTATGGTGTAACCTCAACTTTCTTCATACATACATTAATTTTAGAGGTTGTAAAGGCGACGACTTGTAACACATTGTTGATCAATGAATTCATGAAGCAATTGAGCCGCCCGTACCTCTTCATTTACATCGACAGATCTACAAAGCTCCGTGATACTCGATGGTTTAATTAATAAGTTAATACAAGAAATCAAAACTCTAATATTGGCTTAAAGCATGGATGAATGGTTAATCACAAGTCCCTCCCATGCATATAGACTTCTAATATGTCCAATCCTTTAACCTTAATTAAGTAGAGCCGCAATTACCATTAGTAAGTATTATTTTGCTTTCATGTTCTTGATGAGATTATTTAGGAATGCTATCAATATGTCGCTTGGCACTTGGCAGCATGTTCTTCTTCTAATGAAGCGGTCCATGTGGCTGCACGTCATTCGTTGGTTAAATTAAGGAATCCATACAAAATAAAGATTAAAGAAAAACCCTTCCTTTCCAATCGAATGATCTGTTGAAATACTAATATTTAATTAAAGGAGATGATTATTTACAAAAGGAATATTTTAAGCAAATTTCTGGTTACTTCTTTTATATTTTAAGCAAATTAAGCTAATTAAATCAGTCGGCAACAGTTCAATGTTGTCAAGGTGAAGCCAACTTAGCATTTGACTTTCTTACATTAGACAAGATCACAAATTCATTGAACTGTAAAAAGCGAAAATTTTATGAAAAATCAATGGAAATATATATGCTCAAAAGAATTCGATCGTTACAAATTCTGAATTAATATTAGAACCCTAGTGATATTACACCGACAATAAACGGCATTAATCTATGGTTTATATATGATACGTTTTCTAATATTAATTAATTATAAATTTTAATAGGTTTTACTTTTACATATTTTTCGAAATTAATCGACGAGAAATTCATCGTGATGAAAGCTAATGTCAAATTTTTATATTTGGACTGCATGAATCAAGCCGTTTTTATTGCTTTATAACCATGGGGATTAGGGGTAGGGCTTGAGCTAATCGACGGTTTTATTGCATTGACAACCCTAGCAACAAACCTTCTACTATTATTAATTATATTATTATTATTATTATTATCAGCTATCCGCAATTAGGGGCCTCTAATCACGGTGTTACAATAATAATAAATTAAAAGTAAACCTTCGGACAACAAGAAAAGCCCGAGCGCAAACCTCTTATAATTTGAAGTGTTCATACTTTTTTTTTTTTTTTTTTTTTTTTTTTCTGGTGAAAGGATAATTCCATAAACACGTTGAAAAGGTACGTCATACTTGATTAAATCATTGCTTTGTTAATGATTGAATTAAGGATTTAATCTCATACTTGTTTAAATCCATAAACAATAATGCAGATGACAGAGGATAAGATAACGCGGAAAAAAAAAATTAAAAAATGAGATACTTTTACAGCCTTGCAACGAACAGGAGGCCCCCTTTTTTTTATTTGTGTCAAGAAGGAAAAATGGTGGCAAGAACAAAGGTGAGGAGTGTTTTGTTTATTTAATTAGGTCTCAACTTCACAAATATACCGTCATCCACGTCTTAGCATGTTGAGCTCTAAACCGCCTTCGACTAAATGAAAATAAATAAATGGGGCTTTTGGATCTAGGTCCAAAAACTTAGATAGTTTTTAGGACCGAGTTCAGTTATCCAATTACTTATTTTGATATCAATTTTACCCTTTCAGATAAAAATATTTAAATTCTTTAATTTTTTTTATCATTTATTCAGTTTTTAAATTTTGAATATTTAAATACTCAAACTAAAATATTATCTAGTAACTACCTACTATTTATGAAGAAAACAAGACCGATATAATCTAGTAACTACCTACCTATTGTATAGGAAGAAAATGTTTTATACCTACAAAGCAGATATAATCTACCTGCAAAACAAAAATAAACTACCTATTGTATTGGAAGAAAAATGCTGGCAACCTACATGGCGGAACATAACAATATAAATATGATATAATATACCTCCATTAAAGGAACGGATTTGGAGGGAAGAACACAAAAATATCACCAATGAAAAGAAGAGACAAAAAAGAGGAGGATTGATAAAGGGAATTGTTTGGAAGAAGGAAAAAAGGAGGGATGAAACAGACTGGGGGTTGAGGTGATTATACGGCTATAACTAATCCTACAATTAAGGGATTAGTTAAACCACAAATTATCTCATAATTAAGAAATTTTGTGTATTTACTACAATTCGTAAGCCTAAGGGGTAAATATGGTACAAACCATAAATAAACATACATGGAATCTCAATTATTGGACCTATTTCAATGAAGTGGACTAATTCTACTAATGGCTCACAAAATTGGATCTATATCAAGTTATCCCATAAATTAAATATATCACTAACTCTATTAATAGAGGAGGAGTCCATTCATTATATATTAATGTATTGTATATAATCATTTTTAGCTTCTTACACTCTTGTTTAATCTTGCTCATTGATCTGTTTATTTTATTTAATGTGATAACCGTAAATAAAAATAGATTTCAGAACCTAAAACGGATGCGAAAATCATTTCTCTTCTTAACTCAAACCACTAAAATGTGGCCAATTTTGTAGTGTATTTAGCGACCGGAAACGTCTATCTTTTAATTCTCACTTCAAAGATCATGTCGAACAAAAAACCTAAATATGAAACCATATAATCGTTGGATTACGAGTTCAGAGTTTTATGGAATTGTTAAAATAATAACATTAAGCCTCAAATGCCCAATATTTAATTGGAAACGCCAACTGTATCCTCTCGTTTTCTTTGCCCCCTCCGTTCAACACTTTTTCCTCACCGAGATTCTCGCTTTCTTCACTCACTCTCTTATATCTCTCCTTCCTAAATTCATTCCAATTTCTCTCTCTCTCTCTCTCTCTCTCTAAATTTTTCTGATTAGATCCTTAATCCCATGACCGCCAGCCATTTCGATCCCACCACCTACTTTTTTCATGTCCTGCTTTTAGACGCAGAACCATCCTAAAGCCAAACAACAATCCCAGAGATAGATAGAAAACAGAAGGACCCAATGGCCGGAGCAGTAGCCGGCGGCGTCGACCGTACATCGGAGCTACTGCAATTACTCAACGACGTCGTTGGTGCGAGCAAGTTCGGTGGCGGCGTTACCGGCATGTTTAAGAAGGACTGCAGCGATCTGGTCAGGCGGATCGCCCTGCTGACGCATTTGTTCGAAGAGATAAGGGTGCTTAAAGGCCGCGAATTTGGACCGTTGGATGCGTCGACTTCTTCCACGAATTCCGGTCCGATGGAATCCTGGGTGTCTGATCTGGTGGTCGCCCTCCAGGCCGCCAAGCGCCTTGTTTTGCTTGCCGCCAACTTCACTTCCAATTTTGCCCCTCCCCCGGTCTCCGCCAATCACAATGTACATTTTCTCTCTCTTTAAGTTCATAATTTTTCGCAAAATTTTGTTGATTTAATTTTTTTGAATTAAAGTTTCGATCTTTTTATTATATAATTGAAAGGACGAAGCGAGCAAGAAGATAAGCTTCCAGTTCCAATGCGTGACGTGGAAATTGGAGAAGGCTTTGGGCGACATACCGTACGACCAGTTCGACATCTCCGAGGAAGTTGAAGAACAGGTAACTGACTTAAGCCTGTCAATGTCTACTACGTTGCGCATGTTTTTCACCATACTTAATTATCATCAAGTTAATAACCCATTAATTAGTATAATTTTATAATAAAATGAATTTTTTTTTTTTTAATTTCTTGGCGAAGTTTAGGTTGAATTGGTTAGAGCCCAGTTGAGAAGAGCGATAGAAAGATATGGGTTTTCCATGAAAGGTAGAACGATGTCGTCTGATTGCCTCTCCCAGTCTCTGGTGGAGTCTGGAAAATGGGTGTATGTAGAGAACAATGCAAAGACGATTGGCAATATTCCCAGAAGCTTTAGTGCTGATTCTACTGACGAGATGGTGATTCGTAATATCGAAGCCTTTCGTGCTGCTGACTCTGCTGATGACATCCATGTCGACGATCATGACGATATCAAGAAGCCCGATGCCAATTCATCTGCAATTCCTGACGATTTTATTTGCCCAATATCTTTGGAACTCATGAGGGATCCTGTTATTGTGGCCACAGGTCAGGTATGTATGCTAAAAATGCTATCTTTTATTCGTCTTGTCTTGTTTTTCGTTCATCTGAATTCCGGGTTTTCCTTTTCATGGTTTGATGCCTCAAAATACGATACTATGTTTGCGATGTGTGTTTGTAGACGTATGAGAGATCTTACATACAGAGATGGGTGGATTGTGGGAACACAACATGTCCGAAAACTCAGCAAAAGCTGCTGAATTTGACACTAACTCCGAACTATGTTTTGAGAAGTTTGATTGCTCAGTGGTGTATTAACAACAATATAGAGCAGCCCACCGGGAAGATTAAGAAGAGTGATGGATCATTCCGTGACATTACTGGGGACATAGCGACGATCCAAGCCTTGGTTCGCAAGCTCTCCAGTCGATCAATTGCGGAGCGCAGAGCTGCTGTAGCTGAGATTCGATCGCTGTCCAAAAGAAACACTGATAACAGAATACTAATTGCGGAAGCGGGTGCCATACCAGTTCTGGTCAACCTATTAACATCAGAAGATGGACTAACACAAGAGAATGCAGTAACTTCCGTTCTCAACCTCTCAATATATGACAATAACAAGGGGCTTATAATGCTTGCCGGTGCTGTTCCTTCCATTGTCCAAGTCCTCAGAGCCGGAAGCATGGAAACAAAAGAGAATGCAGCAGCAACCCTTTTTAGTTTGTCACTTGCTGATGAGAACAAGATAATAATCGGAGCATCCGGGGCAATTCCTGCATTGGTAGAGTTGCTTCAAAATGGGAGCACCAGAGGGAAGAAGGATGCTTCAACAGCGTTGTTCAATTTGTGCATTTATCAGGGCAACAAAGGCAGGGCTATCCGTGCAGGGATAGTCACAGCCTTACTCAAGATGCTAACTGATTCGAGCATGGTCGATGAAGCACTGACTATCATGTCAGTTCTTGCTAACCACCAAGAGGCAAAAGTCGCCATTGTAAAGGCAGGCACCATACCGGTTTTGATAGACCTTTTGCGAAGAGGTCTGCCTCGTAGCAAAGAGAACGCAGCTGCCATTTTACTTGCCTTGTGCAAGAGAGACAAGGAGAGCCTCGCCTGCATAAGTAGGCTTGGTGCGGTGATACCCTTGACAGAGCTCGTTAGGAGCGGCACGGCGAGGGCCAAACGGAAGGCAACTTCGTTGTTGGAGCATCTTCAAAAAGTACAGCAGCTATAACAGGCACAGGGTGTACTAATTGTACTGCCAATAATTTCCAATTTGTTTGATTCCTCTAATTTTTTTTGGTTTCTCAATGATTGTTCGTTCCACTATATTCCATTTGTGGTGTGAAACTGAGAAGACGAGCTTGAGACGAATAAGCGATCTCAATGCTTTGTATATTTATTTGTTTCTTTTCTTCTTTAATAATTGTGTAAAATGTAACATTTGATGCATTGTTTGCTGTAACATTCTTTACTTAAACACTTGCTTTCCTGTTCGACCATAAAATATGAACTCCTAATTGTCTAGAGATATTCGATACTGATGATCGACGAATGTTTGAGAAAATATTCAATAGGGCAGCGTGCTTTTCCAAGTTATTTATGTAGTTATGCTATCCGGTATCCACACACCCTTTGTTTCTTGTCCTTTGAATCTTTGATCATTTTCAGTTTATTCGATCTAATGGTTGAAAATTAAAAGGGGTGTATGAAAGGTAAAAATGATGTGTCGATAGCACCACCCTATCTATAATGTAGCTCACAAGTGTCAAAATAACGGTACAAATGACGTTGTAAGTTTGTTCTGATAAAGATTTTCTAGCTCTTTAAAAGCAATTGGCTCTCTTAGAACATCTCCAATAGAGATGTCAAAAAATAAATGTCAAATGTTGCATGTGGTCAAATATTCTAGTGAATAAAGTGTTGGGTTTTTACCCATGCATCCAGTTTCAAAATTTCCCTGGCCTAATTACATTAAGTCCCCGTGGCGATAGAGTAATCGAAAAATAATCCCCATGTAGTAAAAAAAAAAATTAGGATTTAAGCCCCTCTAGTGAAGTTTGTTACGATTTAGGCCAATAATTCAAAAATCAATGCTCTGTTAATTATTAGGACATGAACTACACATATGAGGCTAAAACAGAACTCTTCGTTAATTGTTAGCATGTGAGGCTTGCATGTGAGCTAACTTTATCTTTTTAACTTCGCATGTGAGTCTCATGTGCTAACAATTAATGGAGTATTGACGAAATTTTCACTTTTGAGCTTAAACCCTTAAGAACTTGGGCTTAAATCCTAATTTTTACCACAAGGGCTATCTTCTAACTACCCTATATCGACATGAACCATTAATCCAATTAAGCGTCCTAAATTATTATAATAGTTTCGAACTTTCATTCTCCTTCTAATGAGTAAAAAAATTAGTAAATAAAAAAAGATAAATACCAAATGTTAGTTTGATGGTTGATGTGGCAATGTCATATTTTCTCTTCTCCACTATATTTTTTGTTTGTTATAACAATATTGTAGTACCCATTTTTAAAAAGAAATCAATTAAAACAAATTTTCATGATTTATAATTGGTGCAATAACGAAACCCACACAACAAAACAATTAGAAAATTAACAAACATCACCTTTTTTCATATGTTAAAATTTACAACAAAAAAATTATGATGTTAATTTACGTAAGATTAACATATCAACTAGAGTTTTTTTTACTTTCAAATTTAACTGCATAACATTCCATTTAAAAATTGACATCTCGAAAATTCTCTTTGCCTTAATCTCTCGGAAGACAACAAATTAACCTCCACAAAACAACAAATCAACGAACACACATTTTATATTAGCCGAATCCCTTGTTTTCTTCGTTGCCTTGTTGTGGACGGATGGTCGGTTAGAGCAGTAGTTCTTCGAAATCATAAAGCACTTTTATTAGATGGACCACACCCTTTTTTCTTTTTCTTTTTTTAATTTTAACGAAAAAATTTCAGTATTGTTCACTTTAACGAAAAATCACATCTTTACACTAAAAAATCAATTCTGGTACTATTCACTTTACCTTTATTTTGTCCTTATCATTAAAAACTCAAAATTTTCAAGTTATTTTCATTAGTTTTCCTTCTTTTTTTTTTTTTAGGAAAACTAACAAAAAGTTAAAAAAAAAAAAAAAAAAAAAAAAAACCTTAGTTTTAATGAAAAATGACAAATAAAGATGTAGTGAATAGTACCAAGAAAAGATAGAAATGTGGTTTTTTGTTAAAAATCAACAGTATCGAAAGTGTTTTGTTAAAACTTCCTTTTTTTTTTTTTTTTTTTTTTCCTTACTAAAATTATATTTTAGCACCTTTTGGTTGATTAATCCGGTATGAACTATAAGGCATGAGATCAAACATGAATCGATGTGACCAAACTAGTCCACTTTGTGCTGCGAAAACAATACCAATCGCTACATTACAAAAACGAAAACCCAACAGTGTGACTTTTCTACTCCCTACTTTTCCTTTTTGGTCTTCTTGTTTCGGTCGGTCTAAATTCGTATCTTTCAAAAGAAAATTGTTCTTAACACTGAACCATTGTTAATCTTTCCTTTTCTTAAATCGAAAATTAAGAGAGGGAATAGCGACAGGTGACTATTTTAGACTGATGCGAGAGCTAATAACACATTTTTTTTTTTTTAAATTAATATGTTTATTGAACATGTACAAAGTAGTGAAGGTGTTCAGTTCCTACCTAAGCTTTATGTTTCATTCAAATACAACAAATACTTTATGTCTTTTCTTGAAGTCTAAATCCAAGTTTTCCTTGGTCTTTATGTACCATTTGTCCCTTTAGCCTCTGTCTCGTAATTGCATTTTCTAACTAGAGCATATGTAGGTCTTCATTTCACATGCTTAAACCACCTTAACCGATTTTCTCTCGCCTTATCCTTAATTGCGGCTACTCTTACTTTACCTCGTTCTTAATCATGTCATTTCTCGTGGCCCACACAACAAAAAATGAAGCATTCTCATCTTTGCCACACTCAATTTTTGCATGCGTTGATGCATGACCATTCAACATTCTTTGCCATAAAGCATTGTTGGGCTTGGTCCATTCTAATAAAAAGGGAAAAAAAATTCTGCCTTCTGCCGACAATTATTCTTTTATTGTTATTTTTAATAATAAGGGGTTTGTAATGATAAGTTGGATATATAGAACAGAAGCCATGACCAGAAAGAAGGCATATGCTCCCTTGAAGCTTGACTTGTCAATGTAGTTTAATTTTCCCATGTTCTACATTTCCGGGCATTTTTCTTTCCTACATTTATAATTGCGTGATTATTTCCAAATTCCAAATCGGATGGATAATGGCAGTTGAAATACGTACGTACGTAGCAACCTTTCTGCATGTGGAATTTGAATTAGAAAAGAAACCGCATGCAATCAGACATATACGAAGCTGCAGGAAGATTAGCTTTCTGAGTCAGTGGAGTGGAGTTTCAACATTTCCTCGTCTTAGATAACTTGTTGGAGATTACTGATTGCTTCCAAGTTGATGAATGGACCATCATTTTGGACTCGGTATTCGACTACTAGGCCACATCACGCAATGAGTTTAATCACTGATTACTGATCTCCTGATCTACCCTACAAGTTCATTGTTAGATGTGGTGAGTTCTATTCGAGCCAGGTTTGGTTCCCAGTGCTAGTCATGATTTAGGCGTATGGTTTAATTTCGTGTTTTTGTTGTTCTAGGTTGCATGATCTTATTACGGATTAGGCTAGTTTTAGGTGATAATATGGATATTTCAGTTGTTTGTGGTAAGTTCGCTTTAATTTTGACTTTTTCGATTGTTGCTTTTATAATTTTGATGAATTCGTATTTCTACACATGATTAGTAGAAATGTTTTAGTTTCTAATGACTTCGTTAATTTGACAAAAACAAATCACGAGCTTAATCAAGGATTATAGTCCGATGGCGATGAAATCACGTTTTCCTAACACGATTTTCCGTGATCAACTTTTCACATGATCACATTGTCGTGTACTGTTTTCCTTTGGAAATAATAACAAAATATGATTATGCAATCACCTTTTTCCACACATCACAATTTTTGGCCAACATTATCTCCTAAAATTTGGAATATAAGGTCGTAGAAATTATATCTAAAAAGCATAAACTCCGAGGATGATAATTAACCAACTCAATACTATGGTCTGATGATATTCTTTTTCACTTGAAAGTGAACGATCTTAGGTTCGAATCTCATAGTTGACGAATTAAATACCAATTTAGGTTGTCCATTGTGTGACTTAGCTAAACTTCCCCTCCTCTTAATATGAAAATATTGATATGCTAAAAAAAAAAATTAGAAATTTAGGATCGAAAGTGAAACTATACGTACTTTATGCCATTGTCAAAATCCTGAAGTTATTGACCAATAAAAAAGTCAAAACCCTAAAATTAGTCGTTTTACAACAACCACTACCCTTAAAACGACGTCTCTTTCTTGTTCCCACCATCGTGAGAGCTTTAGCCTTTTGGCATATGATAAAAGGCCAATTCAAAACATTAGTTATCGATCCAAATATAAAAAAAAACAAGCTTTCTTGTTCAGAGAATCCGAATATATATCATACCAGAAACAGAATCCAAAATTAATTGGTCAGTGAGCTATAGCTATGGGAAACAGCTTGGGAGGCAAAAAAGGTGCAAAAGTTATGCAAGTTAATGGAGAGGCATTCAAGTTGAAGACACCAGTGCAAGCTGGTGAGGTAGTCAAGGATTTCCCAGGTCATGTTTTGCTAAAATCATCGGAGGTGAAGCATTTCGGGGTTCGGGCAAAGCCGTTGGAACCCTACGAACAGCTTGAGCCTAACAGGTTGTATCTTCTCGTGGAGTTGCCAAAGGTTGATTTGAAAAAAGAGACTCTTCAGAGAAGGGTTCGATCGGGAATAAACATGAGTGCTAAGGACAGGCTCGAGAGCCTAATGCTCTCTCGGAGGTCGGTTTCGGGCCTTTCGGTTATGAAATCATCGGCATCGACAGCAAGCATTGTGCCCGAGGAGGAGGCGAATGGGGCGGTGCGCGTGAGGATGAGGCTTCCGAGGGCAGATGTGGAGAAATTGATGCGGCAAAGTAGAGACGACGGGGAGGCAGCTCAGCAGATTATGGATCTTTGCATGGTGAACACCAACAACGTGATGGGCAATGATCAAGGTTTGAGTTTGAACCCGCAAATGCATTGGAAGGATGGAGGAAGATTACTTGGGTCGCAAGGAATCAAGGGGCGTGATCGGATTCAGGTAAGGTTTCTTAGAGACATAGATCCTGTTTTTGTGCAATGTTGAGTGGTGCTGTTTTGACATTTCTGGTTTAGGTTGGTTGCGTGAACCTAACGCATAGAAATGTTGGTACACCCAACTGAGTACTTTTAATATTAAGTCAATTTTAGGTACTGGATTTAAGGGACGGCTTCCTTAAGACTTGGTATGAGCTCAAAGCTCAACCCTCCCATAAATAAGTTTTGTTTGATAGTCATACCGTCACGTAATACTATAACTATTAACTGATCACTTGTTAATCATAAATAGTGAAATTAGTTTCAATACTATACTCTACATCGATTATACATGAGTCATATTATCCACTCATATCATAATACGTGAATTAGTAATGTCATATAGCTGAACTCGTTGTACCCAATTATCCAACCTTCCCCATAGAACTTAGTTAGCATTATGCATTTCAAGCATAAGCCAAATCTTACCTTAATTAGCACCTACCTTTCATGTTCAGAGTGAAATATTTCCACAGCTGACAAAGCTATCATGATTTGGGATCTCAACTGCTGACCCTTTTACTCAATTTTCGTACCCACAGATAGGTAAAAACGGTAGCCAAATATGTTTAAGTCATGGTGTTAGTTATTTTACAAAGTTTGGGCAATTTTGAAAATATGCATAGATAGTCAAGCTTTTCACACTGAATCTTAGTACTAGTGACGATAATCTAATTTGTACACAAGTGTTTATGTCTAATTATTGTTTTAGAATAATTAAGAAAGAGAAATATATTGAAATATTCTTGTATTGGATCCTGCAGAAACGAGTGAGTTTCCGACCAGCCAATGAAGGAGAGATCTTAACAAGTAGCGATGAGCAGCGCCTGTAGCCGGTAGCTCTAGTACTCGACTTCAGTCTGCGCAGTCCCATCAACCACACTTTTGAGGATTTGATTTGAGGATTATCTTTAAGCATGTGTAGTTAGTTAATTATACTGTATAATTATACATAAATTGTAGTCAAATTTTTTATCTTCTTGTTTCTTTGAGTCCTAACTAACTGATTTAACTTATATCTGCACTCACGAACAGTTTTGTGAAATCATAATCTTCATAATCTTTATGAATTATCTCATATTTCTCACAATCGGTAGTGAGTGAACTTTTTTTTTTTTCAATTTATTATTATTAAAAAGATGAGAAGAGTTGGAAATTATTACAAAAATTTATGAGAAGTGATGTTTCAAACTCAAAACGCATGAATGAAAATCAACACCTTATTCACTGTTATTGAACCACCACATGCAGTAATGAGCAAACTTGTTAAGCCGAATAATTTGGCATCAAAATATTAAAGAATTTCTTTATACGAAAAGTACTTTCCAAAGATACAATTCACATGTGCTCAAGGAATTTCATCCACCAATCTTTAAGTAAAGATGCACGTGCTCAGAGCATTACAATTCAAGAGACTAATAAATAAAAAATTGATATTTTACTGATGAAGCACGTGGACAGAAAATCCATCGATCAAATATTTAATTGGAAAGGATTCTCTCCAGATCCTTTCCTCCTAATTCACCAAATCAGAAAATCCGTACCGTTGAAATTTGATCCAACGGCTAAAATTATTATAACTTTTAACGTGGACTCCTGTTTGTAGCCATTTGATTAATTTTCAACTGCGTAGATTTCTTGATTTGATAGATTAGAAAAAAGAGATTTGGAGATGATCCATTTCCTATTTAATTTACATTTGTCTGTTACATCACATGGCTAATCCTACAGTGTTGGTAACTTTGACAGAGAAAATAAGAAGAGTTACCAACTCTTCACAATTACAGCGGTAACAAATCTCATGTGGGTTAATTTAACTCTACCCCATATACAAAAAGAAAGGGGAAGAAGAAGACGAAGATGGAGGGGTTTCCCTCCTCTCTCTGTATCAGAAATAATAATTCCCCTATTAAACTTATTAGTGAACTCATCTTCCGTGAACGAGAAAAAAATGCAGCGCGATGCGAAGTACGAACAGTTCATGACGACCATTGATCAGGCACGGTGAGAAAATAAGTGGTCATCGCCTTCCGGAATCGTTTCTTGTATTGCTTCGGGGAAATAATGGTCGGAGCAGCATTCTTCGGACCTCCAAGTATTCCGGATGCCTTTACCCATGTCTCCAAATGCTTGTCCCATGTATATTGTCTCATGAAATCTATGATCCCCAAAACCAGCTCCTTCCGCTCATCGTCCACCCCAACGAGCAGCGAGTAGTCCATTACATCAACAGACTGGAGAGGCATTGGCAGAAATTAATAGATATAGCGTTCGTAATAGTTTAGTATCGAATAAACTTTGTAAATAAGTGTCACTAAAGAAATTTAATCGAATAGATGCAACATGAAGAAAATTTGTTTTAACTATCTTGAGATTAACATCTAAAGCTGAAGGCAAGCAAAAGGGAAGGGGGTGAAGGCATACCGCTAAAAACGACGTATCATTCCAAACAGCTCTCTCCAGGCTTCTCTTTGCTTTGCTTCCAAGAAATATGGGTTGTGTACGTAATGATTCCAACAAATTCATATCTAACAGTACTTTGTCTCCCCCCGTTGTATCAGAATTATAACGGGATCGAGTAGACCCCTTGAGATCATACACCCTTGAAATGTTTCTTTTGAAGAAAAGGTTCTCCATCACCATCAAATCCATTTTAGTTTCCTTCCCACCTTTCAGCTGTTTAACAGTGACCTGCCAATACACCAGTATAATAAGATCACACGAATATTTAAGCTACTGCTCACTACTGACCCGCACAGACATAACATAACAATGAAACAAAGTAAAAAAAAATATAAAAATAAAGAATCAGAGAAGAAGCCTTACCTGATACATACCAAGAACCTTGGCAAGACAAGTTGGACTTCCTGATTTAAGGGAATCTGTCAAATAATTAAAATACTCAGGTGCATATTCCTGAAAGGATTCCAATTCCGTCTTTGTGACTTGTTTTATGATGAATCTATCATCCAGAGATTTAGCAAAATATACATTGCTCTTTCCCCCTTGTGCACTCCACCTCTGGCAGCGGCTCAAAGATCGTATAAAATCCACTTCACTGGGGCAGCACTTTTTCCTAAGAGTGTCAAACTGCTTTGCAAAATAACAAGTCACAGAAAATCTCACTTTTCCTACCCCATTTGAGGACTCGTCCCCGAAAGATATCCTCAAATGTGGAGATCTTTTGGCATCTGCAAACAGGTTGCCCATGGAACCTGAAGCATCTTCAGATCCATAATTTCCATAATGGATGTAATCCAAGTCCATAGAGCCAAAAGACTGCCAGGGTGCAAAGATAGAAGCTGCAGAATCTTCTTTAAAGCTTTCATGAATACTCCAGCCTGCCTGACGCTCATTCAAACTATCAGCAACCCAGTCCTCATAATCCTTGGAACTAAGGGCATATGAGATTATGCTAGTGGGTTCGCTATCATAAACACCAACGACTATTTCATTGCTGCTTGTCTGGGAAAGCAGCAACCGAACCCCATCAGCTATTTGAGATGCAGAGGAGACAAATGAGGGTGTGGAATTGAGTATTGAATCCAACTTTTGTGCCTCGTGTGGCAATGCCTGGGAAAGAGCCCTTCTTACACTAGAAACAGGATCTCTCACCATACTCCTGTAATCTCCATAAGCATGGAATGATCTAAGCGTCGACAAATGCAATGAAGAAGGGGGCAATCCCTTCCTAATCCTGTCTCGGAATCTTAGGGCAGAATCAAAAGACTGAACTCTCACGGGCGACATTAGCCTCCTAAGAGGGGGATCATCATTTTGACTAGTATGCTCGAAAGCACAAGCTTGAACTTCGGTCAAACATGATGTACCAAGTGGTTGAGCTTTCACCAGAAGTTGATCAGTCCCAGTCCATGCAGAATCTATTTTCTCAGACAGTGTAGATTTAAGGGAGGACAAGCCTTTGCAGGATGTCTTATTAACAATTTCCTTATCGGAATGCATCTCGTCCTCTCGGCTATAATGGTGTGATACGTCTTCAGAAGGTTCGAGTGGTGGTACAATAGGTTCTTTATCTGTTGGTAGATCACTGCCAGGAGGCACTTGGAATTTTGAAGACTCAGGCACATGATCCTCATAGCCATAGTCAAGACTGCCATCCTTACCAGACGGATCACTTATCAACTCTTGCAGGTGGGCAAAAGATACATCCCCATCAGTAGCCATGGAAACAGGAGTCTTTTTAAGCAGTGAGTCCAATGAATAAAGCTGGCGATCCCAAACATGAGAACCAATTAAAAGAGAACGTCTCAAGCGATTCAGCTCCAGAACGTCTACAACAGGCATTTTCCCTGGTTCAGAAGTCTCCACAAAAGCAGGTTGCAGAAAACCCTATTGAAAAAGCAAGTAGACTAGATTAGGAAAACAAAGATTCCACAAAGGGTAAACATGAACCCTGGACCAGGAAACATGTGATACCAATCATAGTCACATGCGATACTCAATTTTGCACTTACAATGTAGTAATTTCTTTCCTTCTTAAGCAGATCTTTCAGCTCCAAGATGTGGTGCTGTAACTCAATTGTACCTGACATTTCACATCCAAAAGATCTATTTTTCTCCTCCATGAAGTCGAGTACATCAGATATCTCTGCATATACGGTTTCCATTTTTCCCATAAGCTGCAAAACAATCCAGGTTATTAGAATTGAAATCTCATAACCAGCAGTTACAAAACTAGTTCGTCATTCACCACCCATCAAGAGTTTATTCAAGAATTAGATTAAAATTCTTAAAAGCACCTCTGTTGCCTCTTTTCTTATCCACTCTGGTTGGACTTGGCCATTGAATTCAAGCACTGAAGGTGGCAAATGGACAGAAAGAATATCAATCGCGGCATATCGGAAGACCGCAACCATGCTTCCAAACCTGTAATACAAGTCATTTTTTCAAATTAAGATCATTTAGTACACTAAAAGTAATAACACTCCAAATCTATTAGTACTTACCCATAGTAACGGAGACAATCCCGTTGTAATGAATGGCCACAAGTAGCAACACGATTTGCAGTTGCATGATTTGAAAAGCTCAGTTCCAAGAACTTTCCAAAAGAAAGCCCCCAGGCAGCATCTGACATGACTACTCTACGTGTTGCTGGTGGAACTCCATTAATATGGGCACACCTTAGACACCGGTGCCACATCCATATTTTACCATCTCTCTCCCCAGGTAGCTTTAGTGAAGGAAGGCATCTAACATTAATGGTAAGGTTTCCTTGCTGATGGGTGTAACATAGAAGATGAGACTCAGCTGTCTCTTTACAAGTCCGACAGGAAGATGTCTGCCAATTACAAACCTTAGTATTAACTTTAATTCCATTTCATAATCAGGAAAACAAATTAAGGAGGGATGCAGTAAAGTTACAACGAATCACCTGATCAAATAGGTCATCACGAAGATATCTGCCCAGTGGCTTATCAAAGCAACCATAGAATTTTATGCGCAGAAGTCGGGAGCGTTCACAAACAGTTCCCTTCAGTACACAATAGCTTGAAAAGGATACCAATATGCTCTGATGAGTGTCAGCAGAAGAGAAGTACTCACTTGAAACTTGATTGTGATCAATCCTTTCAGAGTTTGTCAACTCACTATCCTCGTGTTGACTCCAGTCATGAGGCAAGTTTTCTTGCAACTCTGGTTGGGAAAGGTCTTTTGTTTCAGAAGAATGGACTGTGACCCCATTTATATCCTTGTATTGATATGAGGATCCCAAAATCACATTATTTCCTATATCATCAGTATAAGCATCAGAAGATGTAATTCCAATCACAAAGTCACCATTAGACACAGGAAAATCAAGTCCATGATAAGGATGCTCGGGCAAAGACTCTAATCCTTCAATTTCCGGCTTCAGACCCAAAATATTATCATCTTCAACAGAAGTAAAAGGTACAGCCTGGGAATTGCTCAAAGCATGGGAATTAGGGATTACTGAATTTGCATCAGCTGTTGTCCTGTCTGGTATAGTAACTGGGTGTCTCAGAGTCGTCTTGGGCAGAGTAGCACCCTCGTCAGCAAGGAAGGAAGTTTCAAGGGATAAATGGTAAGCTGCAAACACTGCATACTGGACAACATGCTTGATCTTCTTTAGTTCTTCAACACAAGCACCCTTCAGCAGAACCTACAACAGAAACTGACAAGATAAGAGATCACCCCACCAGGCTCTAAAAACCTTTTATGCTTTATCAGAATGTAGATTATGAATAAATTGCAATGAGCACAATTAAACAAACAGCAGAAACTCGGACTGTAAAAGAAATAACAAAATGATGTATATGGAAAACATTACTGTGCAGCAAAGACGCCTTGGACACCCTTCAAAAAACATCAGGGTTTTCACTGGTTTCTTGTTAAACTGATTGGCTGGCTCATGCTGTTCAGAAATTTTTTCTAACCGGAACAGCTCACAATGCCCCAAACGAGTCTTAGGGATATCGTCAATTGATGGAGTAATAAGTGCACCAGTACATTGTGCTATACGCTCCAGTAATGGCCTTTTAACATTCAATACTAACGATATTTCCTTTTCCAGCAGGTAGTCTTGAGCATACGAAGATACACTTTTTTCTACCAGCAGAACATTGGGGCGATGAGCCTCTATCTTTGAGATAATCATCCTAAGATGATCGTTTTCCTGTCCAAAAAAAAGTAAGAAATATATCAGTTATAAGGAATTTAATGTTACAAAAAATTGTCATCAATTCTCTGAGAGAGAGAGAGAGAGAGAGAGAGAGAGAGAGAGAGAAACCTGTTGAATTGGAAAGGAGAAAAACAAACCTGATGCAGTAATGTGTCGAAAGATGCCAACTTGTTTGGAATTTTCTGATACTCAAGTGCTCCCCCTAAAATAAGTAATCTAGGATTTTTGTACTGTGAGGTCATGCGCTTATGCTTTATATTCTTTGTACAAACTACTCCTTTTATAAGCGTACTGCACAAATCCAAAATGTTTTAATTAAAGATATAAACCTGTCACTAGCACAGAGATATGCAAAACGTCAAATAAAATTTCAAGGAAAATATACCTGTCACTTGGACTTCCTGATGCAATACATTTAACTTTCACATAATCACCAGGATCCATACTGCCTCCTCTGCTTGTATCTGGTTTAACAAAATTTGCCGCTTGCCATGCAATTTTTGTAACTATGTCAAGCCAGTCCTCATCTCCATCCCCTTTATCCATGAAACCCTCACCTTGTAACAGTTGTGATACAAGAGCTCTAAAATGCCCCTGTACCACAGCTCTAAGTGGTTCCTTGTTACCCTCATTCTGTTTCTCCTTTGCAGGAAACATGCTCAAAAGGCTACTGCTTGATGAAAACACTGCACCGGAATCTCCAATATCATCATCTTCATCATCATAAGAAAAGATATTACACTCTGCATCATCATTCTCATCATCAGGCGGAGGGGGATACCAGATGAGACCATTGTTTTCAAAATCCAGTGGCCTCTGTGACTTCTCATATTGACTACGGATAACTGACGCGTCATCAGAGCAATCATCAGTAATATCTGGATCCTCGCTCCCTCTCTCAGGCCTTTTTAAAACAGCCTTAGTCTGTTGACCAAGGGGACCATCAGTCTGAGACACAGGGATTCCCTCCTGCCCCTGCTGTACAGAATGCCCAACTCTACTATAAGTATAATAAATTCTAGACGGGCAATCAAAATGATGGGATCCCAGTGACCTTGACCTGAAAAACTCTTTTCTAGAACTAACACTACTTAAATCTACGTCCGAATTGTCATCACAATATTCACTTAAAGGACTGCAAAAGTTCTTTCCAGAATCCTCTGCCTCCTCTTCGTCACTCCTACATCACAAAACAGAGAATTAATGAAAGGATATTTTGACATCAAATGAAAAAGATATATTTAAATTTGAATAGTATAGCAGGTGAAGAGATTAGTTATAGGCAAGAAATCCAATTAAAAAATATTATATAAAAATGCATCATGATGCACAACCTGCAATCTGAATGAAAGCATACCTGCTAATAGAGTGACGAATGGATATTGGAGATGGGTGAGAACTAAGCGAGGTCATACTCCTCACAGCATGGGGAGAATAACTGCAATCATGGGCTTCCAAAATCTTTGAGAAATGATCACTGTGAATAGATTCATCATTATCCACAGAACACTTGACTGTTTCGGCACTACAACAGGGTGATGGTGGTTCAGGGCTTTCTCGGGGAGAGGCAGACGGATGCACTTTCTCCCCATTATTCCTTCCACCTTCCTTCCTTAATCTAGCCAAAGAACAAAACTTGCAGAACTTAATAGTACTCCCTCCAACCTCATCATTGCTCTTGATGCTATCCCACTCAGAGCCCTGAATACACTTTCCACAAATCCATCTGCCACAGCTCTGACAGTGATATCTAGAACCAATACCAGTGGTGTTCGTATTGCAATCACAACACATCTTGCAACCGTTACTATATATCAAACACGCTAGACAAACACCGTGAATCGCTTCCTTCTCCAGATATCCAGGACCTAACTTTGTCTATTAGATCTAGTAGTGAACGATCAGGTATTCCCATAGAATGGCAACAACCCAACAAATAACAAGGAAGCAGCAGCTCTTCCTCCTCCTCCTCCTCCTCCTCCTCAAAGCTAAATTCTTTTACTTAGTCTAAATTTCAGTATAATCAACAAATATAAATAAAATCCCCCACAATAAAAATGGTGGGTGAATTGGAATTAAAGATGTATTTTTTTTTTCTTTCTTTTATATGATTTTGTTTTCCTTGTTTCTTGTTTCCTCTTTTTTCAAAAATTTGGAATGAAAACAGAAAGCAAATGCTCCTCCTCTCCTCCTCCAAGAATCACACAAAACAATATCACGGGAGGAAATCAGACGGCTCAGGATGCACAAAATCTGACAGTATTTACAACCAAAATAATATCACCAATGAAAGTGCTTAAAACTTAAGCAGCAGCAGCAGCAACAAACTCGAAGAAACTTAAAGCAGTAAAGAAACCCTAACCGATTCCAGAGTCCTCAAGAATGCATCCGGCGATCGATTGCAGCATATCAGGGCGATTCAATCGGAGCAGCTCCAAGTCCACCCAGTCCAAGCAGAATGAGAAATCATGAGAAATCCAAGAGACATGGAAGCAAACGGCAGCATAGAATGAGACGAAGAGCAGAATACGTATGAGTAAAGCAAAAGCTGATGAAGAACCAGAAGTACGTATGTAGAGAGAGAAAAAAAGAGGAGAGAGAGAGATTGAAGAAATTAAATGCTGGGAAGAATGAGGATCAAAAGGACGAAAATGAGGAGTACGGAGAAGGTTCCCTTTCTGCCGGAATCGACTCGCATCTCAAGAAACGCATTTGCCTCTCTCTCACTTCTTCTTCTTCCTCCGCTTTCTTCTCCGCTTCTTCCACCGACAACACCACCTCCGGTTGCAACTGCATCAACACTTCTTCTTCTCTTTTGTATCATCTATATTTTTTGCCGCTTTCAATTCATTTCGTTTCTTTTTTCTTTCAATTTCTGTTTTTTGTTTTTCTTCTTCTCTCTTTCTTTCTTCTTCGTTTCTGTTTCTTTTCTTTCCTTCCTACGCACCCCAACTGGTCATTGCAACTTAAAATATTGCTTTTCAAAAAGCACTTTCTCGCTCTCATCTCCTATTCTATTTCCTTTTTCTTTTTTCTTTTTTTAATAATCTCTATTCATGCCTAATTGGTAATTACCTACGGCCTTCATTAGTTAAAAGTGCTTTTATTTATTATGGATCATATTTTATGACATTCGAAAAATGCTTTTTAAATAGTTGAAAACGTTTTTAGTGAAATTAATTTTGGTTTTCAAAAACACTTTAAATACTTTTTTTGAAGAAACACCAGATAGATATACATTTCTTGCAGAAAACACTTAAGTGTTTTTCCAAGATCTACTTGGATTTTTACTAAGGAATAGTTTCATAAACATTTTTACCAAAAACGATTTTAATCATTTTAAAAGTATTTCCAAACGAATCCTTATATGTAAACACCCATCTTTGTATTGTGGACGGTGAGACCTATTTATATTGATTGTATCTCTACTAAAGAGATAATTTAAATGTAGTTTGCAAAATGTGATGTTTCTAGCATTACCCTTATAATACACCCCACGTCTAATTATGCTTAGTGTAAAAATTTTAAAAATGTTAATCGGTCATAGAAGTACTCTAAATAAGTATTTGGAACGTAGGGGTGATTGTTCAAAAAATACTTTTCAGTGTTTTTCCAAAAAAAATGAAAAATCTTAAGGTATAGTCAAATAAGGATTTAGAAGGATTTAAAAAACTTTTATAGTGATAGATTTTATATGATTGTAAGAACCCTTACAACATTAAAACGAATTTTCAAGGATTTTTAAAGATTGAAATGATTTTGAGAGATTATCTTGTCATTTAAAAAATTATTCGTCAATAGAAAATAAGTTTAAAAAAATTACATGTTAATATGACATTTTGAATACCTATTTCTATGAACTCCTTAAAAGTCCTTTAAAATCTTAGTCGACGACACTTGGACTTCGATGCATTCTTTTAAATCCTGTTAAATTCTACTTTGACTACACCACGGTTTCAAAGTCTTTTAAAATTCTAGCTGACTACACCATGATTTTAAAGTCTTTTAATATCAATCTTTCAAAATCTTATTTTAACTATACCCCTAAGTTTTTCAATTAAGATTTTCTACATGTTCCTTTCAAAGATACGCTTTTTACACAAGTAAAGAAATAAATCTCGACTGAAAGAAAAACTTCAATACACCATTAATGTCATATTTATGTTTCAAAATTTCTTCATATAATATTATATTAATAGTTCAAAACGCTGATATAATGATATCGTTGCACCGCACCGTCCCTCTCGAATGGCCCCATAAAATAGTCTTTGGCGCTTTTATTGAAGAATTTTTTTTTTCTTTATTAACCTAGCATTCAAGACTGCCATTGGTCAGCGTGATACTTAATTAGGGCTAAAGTCTGATTTAATTTTCTAACTATTACCATAGAACTCGCCGTTGATTGGTCAGCATCAGTGTGCAGATTAAAAACCGTTTTGGGCAATGAATTTTGTTGAATTTTGGCGTCTGTATCACACGATCCATGACGGCATCTAGAACCGTATCCATATGGGCACGCGATGGGCCGACAGGGGTGTCAATTTTGGGCGGTTTGGTGGGTCAGGTTTCACGGGTTTTCTGTGACCCGAACACTTATTCCTTGAGCAAGACTTCTCGATTTTCTACGGTTAACCCGGAAGCTTGGCATCTTGGGTACCGAGTTGCAATGGGAAGATCTTGATGAATGATGTGACTAATGTTAATGGCGATGGTAATTACCACACTCACACAAGGGAGAGATCTAATACTGATGGTGATCATAATTAGCCTTGAACAAGGGTCACTTAAACAAACTCAAATTGTAATTTTTTATTGGTAAAATTTGTGTTTGATCTTCGCTGTTGATGCACGTAAGACTGAAAGTATATCAACGATTAAAATCAGTTCATGTTTTCAACATGTGGCATAACTGATTGGTATTATTTAAATCGCAGTTGCCTTTCGTCGCTCAATATGACGTCTAATCCGACTACGACGAATAATTATCAACTCACCACCACCATCAACTTTGTCACTCGCTCCTAATCCAAAACCCCCAGGAGGCGCATATAACACAAAGTTTAGTTGTAGAGTTGATTCAGGCAGCTCACGAAGAAGAATTCCTTCCTCTCATATGTTTATTAAATTTGACTTCCCAACCCTATGCATATATAATATACTTATTTACTATAACAATATTGACCCTAAAGATACAATAAAAATGTCCTAAACAGTGGGAATGTACGCTAAGCACATAATGAGTATGAGTTTTTTTTTTTTTTTTTTTTTTTTGTCAACTCAATGGGTTTTGCCAAGTTTTTAGATTGAAATTTTTTTTGGTGCTACGCGCACTCTTTTTGGAATTCTATGAGGACTTGCATCTGTCATTGCTTAGTTGGCCATCCATGCATGTTATTTCTAGCTTCACCCGTGCCATGGGTCATAATTTAAGTGAAGAGAAAATATATTTTTCAGTATTCATCTACTTATATTACGACATGTAGTACATCACTTATATTCCGAGAACACTAAAAATCTCTTGTGCCCATGCATATTGTGCACAAAAGGGAGATGCCAATTGTCATGTCCCCTGCAGCAGACAGCAGGTGAGGGGGATTTGGTAAGCATTTCATTTGGTGGGAAGCCAACATCTGCAAAAGTGTTTTCTGCTGCCGAGGTCTACCGAAAGGAAGATGAAGCTTTGTATTATTTCATACTCTTTTGTTCTCCTTTTCTCCTTGGCGTTTTCTTTTGGTAGGTAACAGTTTTTCCAAATCCCCATCCTTCCCCCACCCTTTTCTATATTGACCAAATTGGGTTATATTTTCTTAAAAATATACTCAGCCATATAAAGTTCCATCATTCATGCCCAAAAACAGTGAGTGATGGAATGGATAAGAGAATCAGAAGGACATACAGCCGCCCCTACCCAATTTTCCTTCATCATCATCGTCATCGTCGTCGTTCGTGACTCATGTCCATGTCATGGACATATTATTTTGTTTGATTAATTACCTTTTCTTTTCTTGTTTTGTATTTTGGATAAGACTAAGATCAGGCCTTAACCTCCCCTCCTTTAGTCTTTTTCTAATGCTTTGTCAAATTAGGGTTACCAAAAGCCCACAGTTTCGTTTCCTCTATGTCTAAGAAACCCTAAAGTGAAAAAGAGAAGGAAGTTGGACTAGCGACATTTCGTTTTATTCAGGTAGAGAAGATTTTAGATTTGACACACAGAAATGTGAGAATAATATGTGCATACATGAGTTTGATTATAAGTTGTGAATCATTGTGACTTGTTATGATATAAGTTAACAATCCGCTATGAAAGTAACTTTGTAAATGTCATATCATTTATCAAGAGAAGAAAATTAGGAAAACCCCACATTAATGAGAGATTTTAATATGATTGATTGGAAACTTGAAGAAAAAAATTATAATCAATTGTATTATGACACTACGTGTACCGAGCCGTATTCTCGGCACACTAAAATGTTTCTTCACATTATCCCATCCCATTGTACTTTGAAATCCCTTATCTTCACTCTATTTTAGTAAGAACAATACTTGGCTACTCAAAGATGAGTAGGAACTCCAACTAAAAACTCTTAGTGTTTTAATCACAGAGCTTTGTGCTTATGATCAGAACTGTTCATACTATGAATCACACTGTAAAGATCATCTCTGCAAAAAATAAATTAAAACTAAAGTGTTTTAGTCAATTTATTGTAGCAAATACATAGACAGTTCGTAATACTTTTACCAATATTGTTCATTTGTTTTTAAACAGTTTGATGACTAAATGACCTTAGTTTTAATTGATTTTTTGCAGAGGCGATCTTTACAAGGTGATTTATAATATGAATGGTCCTAATTATAAACATGAAGTTTTATAAATTGACAATGACCAATTTTGAAAATTTTTAAGTAGAAGTTCCTACTCATCTTTGAGTAGCTAATTATTGTTCTTTTTAGTAATCCCTAAAGTCAATATAGCCATGAAAGTAATGTGTAACATCCCACATCGACCAACGGAAAGGAGGTGATGTGCCTTATATGTACATGCCCACCTTCATATAGCACGAGGCATTTTGGAAGCTCACTAGCTTCGGAGTTCATTGAAACTCTAAAGTTAAGTGAGTTCGATCGAGAGCAATCCCAAGATAGATGACCCACTGGAAGTTGCTCGTGAGTTCCCAGAAACAAAACCGTGAGGGCGTGGTCGGGGCCCAAAGAGGACAATATAGTGCTACGACGGAGCCGAGCTGGGATGTGACAGAATGGTATCAAAGCCACTCTATCGTGTGGTGTGAATGTGTCGACGAGGACGTCGGGCCACTAAGGGGGGTGGATTGTAACATCCCACATCGACCAACGGAGAGGAGGTGATGTGCTTTATATGTACATGTCCACCCCCATATAGCACGAGGCATTTTGGAAGCTCACTAGCTTTGGAGTTCATCGGAACTCAGAAGTTAAGCGAGTTTAAGCAAGAGCAATCTCAGGATGGGTGACCCACTGGGAAGTTGCTCGTGAGTTCACAGAACCAAAACCGTGAGAGCGTGGCCGGGGCTCAAAACGGACAATATCGTGCTATAGACGGAGCCAAATTGGAATGTGACATAATGCATTAGAAAAATGAATATTAAGGGCGTGTACTAAACATGGTTTAACTGACAATACATTAAGGCATGAATTGGGGTGAAAAAAATAAATATTTGAGTAGCATCTTAGGCATGATGTTAACATATTTAAGGTGTGATGTTAACCTGTCATCGGCCACCCTTAAAAAACAATATTAGCCACCCTAAACCAGAATTAAACTAAATTAAGTACTAAGATTCATGCGTAAAAGTATAGGTACATATCTTTCAACATTATCCTTGAAAAGTTCGGTGTGCTCTTACAAAGAAATGATTCGTCCAATGAAATTAGAGTAGCGTGTGTATTATATGTGCATGTATTTACCCTAATATAATATATGTGGTCGGCTGCAACATCTAAATGACATTGACTGTACGTGAGTCCTTAAAGACCAAGATTTAGGTTAGAGTTCGGTTACCTATAATTTTTTTTGTGGACGATTTGTGAAAATTCAAAAAAAAAAACTAAAATCCCTATTATAAGTTCTCAAAAAGACTTGTGATGTCTTAATTATGAGATGGAATAACCTCCCCACTTCCAAAAGGACTTTTTGATGCCCTGATGAAATGACATTGACTGTGCATG